CAATGGCCTGTGATCGCCACACTTCCAATTCGCTAGGTAGTCACATAGGCTAGAATCTGGAATTCCTTTCCATGTAAATGAAGCATTCCCAGCACCTCAGCCCTGGCCAATGATGTTCACTCACCGAAAACTCCTACCAACCTCCCCAAGGTTTGTATAGCCCTTAACCCTCACCCCACCCCCAATAAAGAGCTGCTGTATTACTTGAATATCCTTGTCACAGTATCACTGGGAGAGCTGTAGTGCTAAAAGGGCTGTAATGCTAAAATAGCTGTTTCACCGAAAACTGCCCCACCTTCAGGTTGGGATCCTGCGCAGCCACCTGCCTGGCTAAGCTTCATTTCTTCAAGCACCTGTATGCTTTGGTGCTGGGACACCCCAAGGGGAGAAGCAGACCCCCAGCTCCGGACGGACAAAACACCACTCGCTTTTCTGCATTATTAACCTCGGATCTTTACAGCAGTGTTTTACGCCTGATCTAGGAGTTGGGAGTTCTGTTACATAGCAAATGCTTTACCTTCTACCCCAGCTCAGCTGAGATGTTGAAACACTAACTCCGAAACTGATGAAGTTGGATATTTCATGGAGTAACTCATGAGCAGAAAGTACTGAAAATTGAGTCAGTGACATTTTAAAGGTAGACCAAGGGTTTCTTCCCCTACTCCTTTACGTGAGAATAGAATGGGAAGGCAAAATGGCCCTGGCCAGCCACAAAACCTGCCAGTACTTTGAATGTCATGAACTTCCTACCACCAGACCCCTGAGGAAAAATTTTCATGCTGACAAGCTATCTCATTTATGGTAGTTTCTTTTATATAGACTAAATCAAGGCCCTTATAAAATATTTGTTACTATTAAGTCATGTTTGAAATTTTTCAGAATCATCACAAAAATTTATAGTTTCCAACGCAGTATGTTTAGATGTTTGTAGGAATAGTATACTATCATCTACTTGAAAAAATAAAAAATAATTTCTGAGTATACCAAGTTGAAAAATTCTGAGAAACTATTATAGAGCCCCACCTTATTTTCTTGAATAAATTATGTTTATATATCCACACTGATGCATAGGTGATTAATTTAAACTTTGACTTACGAGATAGCAGTTACTTGTAATAATTTTGCTCCCCTCAGACCAAAAACTAAATTATATTACAATAAAACATGTTATTGTATCAAATGACATATGTTTTGTTGTTTCACAAATGAGATTATTTCAGACTTACAATAAAAATATCTATTGAAAACCATCATGAATATCTTCTTTTATTTAATTCAATTTACTATATAAAATCTGCTTGACATATTTGGTGTTAAAAAGGAAATTTTCATACAGACCAACACTGTTCATAATAATAGAAAACCAATGATTGTGTTTTATTATAATACAAACAAAATATACATTTAACAAATTTAATTATGTTATACTACAAGACTACATTTCTTTGAAAGTAGAAAGATTAAAAATTTATTCCTAACCACCGACAATCCTACAAGTAAAGATTAAATGTGGCTTCCAACAGGTATTTTTTCCAAAAAAGTTATGCTCCAGACTTTTAATAAATATCTTACATTACAAAATATTTAAGCAAAAATTAAATTAAAAAAAATCCTGTGCATTCTTCTGTACTTCGATTTTCAATTTTCAGAAATGGGGAATTCTAAATCTTATGCTTTTTTAACTTCACATACAATCTCTAAATTGTAATATTGTGATCATCTACTATGAGAAATATATATTTTTCTATTGAAAAAAAAAAACTTATCCATCCCCCAAATGGCTTTTCAACTGACACACACTGACTTCTACAACGTGGCATTCAGAAGAGAAAGGATTCCCAATTTCACTTTAATGTGTCTTAGTGAAACATGTGAGAAACACCTTAGATATATATTTAAGAAAAAAAAAAGCAATGTTTAAATTGTATAATTTTATTTTTTCCTGTGAATGAAATGAGATGAGTTGTCCCAGGACCTCAATCTTGGTTATAATATTCCAGTAAGAAGTCACTCTTGTTATCTTTTATCTGAGGCCACCAATTCACCAGGAGTAGCATGTAATAGTATATATGAAGAACCAAAGTGTATAAAAGAAAAATCCAAAAGTGTGATCATGTTATAAATAAATGTTATAAAGTAAATAAATCTTACTTTAAACAAAAGATGTTGGGATTATAAATGATACCTGGTTAATTGCTGTGGCTTCTGAAAAGTGCTATTTTTGTTTTGTTTTGTTTTCTATGACTATTTTGAATTTTGTTAAGCATTTTGACTGTTTCTTCTGAAATGTTTACTCAGTCATATGCATGTAGAGTTTTGAGCTCTTTGGGAAAGAAAAACAAAGGAATTTATGTGAACTGATTATTTAGACCATCCATTTCTAATCAAACTCTTAAAATTCCCAATAAATTAAATTTAAATGAACTCAGATGAACATAATTCCATTTAGCAGCACAAACGACTGGAATAAAAATGCAGCAAAAGCACACAAGGAAGTTAAAGATGTATATTGAAGACTGAGAAATATATATATATATATATATATATATATATATATATATATATATATATGAACAACTAGATATTTCAGAATCTCTTCTGAGAAATCTGGTGTCTTTGCTTATTTAAAACTTTGAGCAATATTCTGTTTTTTCATTATTTCAGTATAAATTTTGTTCATCCTGAGTGGTAAGGAGTATACATTGGATTTGTCCATTTAGAGTATTTACACTCTTCTAGGTGTTTTGGAAGAGAATGAGTGAGGTTTAGATGTAGTCTGTGTATAAAGATACACATAAACCTGAGCCCCCACCTTTATTATGTAATCTTATTTTACTAATATTTTTGATAATACATGTTGATCATCATTGATAGTTTTGTATCCAAAGCAGACAAAATTTTAAACCTAGTGTGGAAAATAGATTTACAGATTTTTAAATAAACTAACATTTCTAATTACATAAGCAATTAGAAAAAAGAATGGGCATTCTTATCTAGATAAAACTAATTTTGAGATGTCAACACAAATATTAGAACCTTGTATAATCTCTCAACCCTATCCACATTTGGGTATTGCTCTCTGATAGACAACTATCTGAAAATACCTTTTAAATGGAGCATGCTCCCCGTGATCAGTTTGCTGTGAGTTTATAGGACCCACAGTAAACCAAAAGGTAACCAACCACCTTGTGTGATACTTGTTTAGTACTAAGTCTAATCATGACACAAGTATTTGTATGCATTTCTTCTGGAGATGCAACTCATTCTGGCTTACTTTTTATAATTGTTCATTCACGTTTTCTTTTTCTTAGAATGAAGCATCCACAAATATTTATCATTATACTAGACCCTCACAGATCAATGTTATGCCTTTGAAATAGATACCCAATGCAAATTAAATGAATGTAAAATATTGATGCTACTTTGAACAAAGAGATTGTTTGGGTCCGCAACACTAGTCTTTAATCACACAGGCTTCTCACAGACTTCTTTCAAAACATGTAGAATGCATGAGAAACAAGCAAGGTCTGGTTGGTTTTCTGAAAAGCTGCATTCTTTGTGAGGAAGTGACTAATTGTTCATTTCACACTATAAAGGGCGTGAAAAGGCTAAACAGAGGAAGGCTAAGGGCTTTGGGCTATAGGAAGGAAAGGTGATTTCTGTGAAGACTGGCAGGAAAACCACTGGTCAGAGGGAAAGTTGAATTTGAAACACGCTAACAAAATGCAAATCGTATTTATGTTAATGCTGTGAGTCTGTTTTCTTTACGTGTGGCAGACTTACTTGTGAAGCTGCTGAAACAAAGCTGCCTAAAAGTTTATGTAAAGAAAAGGATGTCAAAGGATTAATTTAACCCTTCCCGTCATCAAAACTTGCACTGATCCATTCATTCAAAAAATATATAGCCCCATTCCCACCCCATTCCCATCTGCTTAATTATCTCTATGTATTACATATTGCTTTCTCCTATTTGCTCAACTATAATCAAGAATGTAAATGCAAAGAATATACAGAATATGATAAATACTTAGAAAAAAGAGAACACAGAAATACATTGATTATAAATAAAATATTGCCATCCCATAAATTTTTTTACAAATTTTACTTTCACTTGAGTTTTTACTAACAGTTTGTTATAATCTAATTTTTTTTAACTGAAACATTACAAATTGGCAGATACATATACTCCAGTGGAAATAATTCCATTACATTCTGTCTACTTTGCATTTTCTTTTTCGTGGCACTGTAAGTTTTTCTCAGAGCCAGAATTTATGGCTGTCCTTCTGTCTGTCTCCTAACATCTCCCATCTACACATTAGGATAGAGTGTACATCATGCCACTCTTACTAAATTAAGATATCTTCCCCACATTATTAAAACAGGAACTATGCACTCTGGCCCTATAACACTTAGCATATGTTCTAGAACACACCATTGAGGTTCTGTCCGTCAGGTTCTGTCTGTGAACCTGTTTCTCTTGACCAGTCACAAGGAAACTTCGTTAGGATTGTGAATACCCTCTCACAAATCACTGTGGCGGTACCCTAGATGTAGCTTGTCACCTTGAAAGGGAAACACACCTTTCTAAATTCCCATACCCGACTCCAAGTCTGGGTTGATGGCTCCTTGAGAAAGTTCATGTTAATAACATAAGCTGTTTTACTTTGTATCTGTCCTCCAACTACTACATGGTCACCCGTTCTAGAATGGAATGATTTAACTATCTATAAAAACTTAGACAACTGCATGGTAAATTCCATGCTTACTGGGTATGCTTGGGAATAAATCGCCCTATTCAGTGGATTGGGTGTTTGTTTGGCTTGCTTGTTTCCATGACATTAAATTCGAAACATAAAACGTTTACAAATGTAAGGCCCCTACTTTTAGTATAATTCTTGACTTTACTGATAGAGGTTTCATTCTCAGAAAGCTGGTTCAGATGATGTCATATTTACCATAGACAGTTTTTTTTTTTTTTCAGCATATCATTCTGTGCCTTAGAGAGGCTCCATGGGAAGCGTGTATGAATTAGTATGAGGGGTGTATAAAACAGAAGACAGTGTTTTGCAAACAGGTAAATAATTCTCTCTTTAAATTAAATAGAAAACTATGTAGCCATGGCTCTATGAAGCTCATCCAGGTCTCTGTGATGTCGTCGATTCCGTTTCTTCTTCATTTCCTGCATGTGCTTCCACTTTGGGCCGCCCTTGTTGCGCTGCCTTCGCTTCTCCCTGTACCACATCTGTTCGCAGTACTGGTCCAGGCTGAAGTTTGGGCTGCTAAGGATTTGGATGTAGTCTTTGTATCTCAACCGTGACTCAGCCAATAGATCCTTGACCTGCCCCTCCTGGTGCTCTGCCCTCTGGGTATTTTCCATCTGTTCATTCTCAATGACATTCAGAGTCAGCCTCACTACGGTGTGGATGAAAGTGTGCTCCTGTGCTTTGCAGTAATACATCCCAGAGTCCTTCTTCTGCAGACTTCGAATCAGTAGCCCATAGTCCGTTTTGATGATCCTTTCATCGGGTTTCAACTGCAGGTTAAAAAAAAAAAAAAAAGTAGGTAATAAATTAGAAACAGAGAGCCACAAGCAAATGAAAACAGGCCACATAGTTTCACTTAGATGAACCTAAAAGATATTCTCTTCATCTTTCTGTCATCAAACATAACATTCTCAGCCGTAGTTGAAGATGGTTAAAAAAAAAAAAAAGGAAACGAAAAAAGAAAGAAAGAAAAACTCAGCTGAAGTAGTAGTACCTACAAGCCATATCATGATTTCTCTACATTTGTATTTTATTAAATCAAATGAAACTTTGGAATATATTTAGTTTTCTCTGCAGTGTTGAGATAAGAATGAAACAGTGATAAAAATTAAGGGAAATCGAAGCTATCAAGTGACCTGTACAGATATTTCCGATGGAGATCAGTGGCCCAAGATCACAGTTTCAAGAAAGATAGTAAGAAGAGTCAGTATTATAAAGAAGAACTCAGTGTGTGTACTGCTTGTGATAGACAGGAGAACAATGGCATTGACTTTGCTTTCTGCATATCAACGAATAAATGATTTGCAGCACACCAGTGAGAAAAAAGAAACTGGGACCTGTGAATAGTGAATTGAACAAAACAAAACAAAACAAAACAAAACAAAACAAAACAAAACACAGCTACAGATTAGAACATCAGAACTTTAACTGAGTGTGCCTGTACCGAGAAAGCCAGCATTGTTTAAAGCTAATTTCCCTATCATCATCAAGTTGTGCAACTGATATTTTGGATTTCAGCATTTGTGGAAAGTTTTACCATTGCACGGAGTACTCTGCCTAACCTGGTAATGCGATTTCAAGTGCGAGAAAGCACAATGAATAAAATGAACCTCCCCTGAAATGTGATGCTCAAGTCTTTGAAGCAGTGACATTGAGAGACAATTCAAATGTTAAGCTTGCCTGGCCCACATGGCGTGAGTACTGAACTATCTTCAATGTAGCAAGGGCATGTTTATCAACACAAGGGCCTTCTTTAAATGTTGGGTGTTGCTGAATAGCTAGGCATGAAATAGAACAACAACAACAACAGCAACAAAGAAACCTCAAAGATTTCCCAGCTTACACATCTGTCCCTGAATTGTAGGCTTCTAGTTCATGGAAAAGAAAGACGCATAAAGACAGCTAAATTAAATTTATTCACAGTGGGTGGACTTACCCCACATTCTTACACAAAAAGAATGCAGGGGGAAAAAAAATCTCTCTTATTCTGGAAATATGAGAAAAAGGGAAAGAAACATCTTTGGCCAGCAGCCCAGTTAACTAACAAGTATATGGCAAACCACCCCCTGTGCCAGACAAGTGCAGCTGGCGGGGAACCTTCTGAGGCCAAAGGCAGGTCACAGCGCAGATCCTGGGCTAATGAGGCTGAATGGTCTCCAGACCTGCCTTGCACCGCCCTGAGTCCACACCATTAGGCTTTTGCTTGATTGCTTGTTTGTGTCCTTTCCTTCCACCGTTTGGTGAGTTGGATGTGTTTTCTTTTCCCAGTGCATTGACTCTAAAAGCCACGACATCTCCAAATGCTATTGTAATACAAACTAACCTCAGAGTAATTTACGTTCTCAAAACATGGGACAGTGATTCTCTACCTTCCTATTGCTGCTTGACCTTTTAATACTGTTTCTACTGCTGTGGTGACCCGCAACTCTGAAATTATTTTGTTGTTCATAACTGTAATTTCACTACTGTCATGAACTGTAATGCAAAAGTCTAATATGCGGGATCTCTGACATGCGATCCCTGTAAAAGGATTGTTTGATCTCCTTGAATGTTGTGACCCACAGGTTGAGAACCCCTGCCATAGGCGCTTCCCACCTAAAATAAAAGTAGATGTGCATTGATAGACTGCTAAAAGAACCCTGGTGAACAAAGGTAGCAGTCTCATATTTAACACAGAACACATATGCCTTCCTTTTAAATAATGTTATTGTATTGTTGAAGAAGTATAAACACATCTTACATTTCAAAATACCATCTCTCTAAACTTGGATACCTGTATTTGTCTGATTGTTTCCTTTCATCATTCATTTATCTACCCCACTATTCTCCTACCTCTGAGGTTCTGCTTTGTACATGGTGGATTTGGAGGTTAAAGGTAAAGTATCGGCTGCATTATAGCTGCCATGCTGCTTGAGCTGTGATGCACAGGAAAGATTTTATTTCTGCATTTGCTTCACCGAAAATGACTTGAGGCCACTAGCACGACACCATAGCTAGCTGTGGTTTTAATCCATCTCTACTTCTTACAGGTCTGTGGTCTGTATCTTTCTGTTGCTCAGACTACATTCAATATGGCCTTTAGACACAGTCACTGTTCTGACTGGGTGTTACCCCTTGTTTTCTTTAATCTTCCAACAGGAAGAAATTATGACGCCAGCTTCGTGAGCACTGGACACAACCCCGTCACGGCTTTGTCCTTCTCTTTCTGCATCCTGTTTATGAAGTTTTGTCCTGAGACCTATTTCCCTTGGCACCTTTTCACGTATCTCAGTCCCTAGTGGACTGTGCACATCATTAATTCCCAGCATTTCATTACTAGGTCATGATTATTCATCTGTCCTTTCTTCTACAAAATTCTTTATCTGTTCTTTGGGTTTTAACCAATAGTTATAAACTGTGCTTTAACATCTTTTGAGCTACATGAATTTATTTAAGGTCTATTAGATTGTTTAATGAATTTTTGTTTCTTTTCTAAAATTTAAAAAGTATAGCTTCAGTGCAGTGGAATCTTTAATAAAACACATTGTGAATTCACATATTTAGAAGATTCTTACATTTCAAAGATAAAAACATGTGCCCCAGAAATTAAGTGGTTAATCAGTATTCTCTTATTTCCCATTATTTCTCTATAACACTTTCATTTTGGCTGGGTTAAGACATACCATCAGGCTATATCACACAATGAAATGGCAGCAGAGACAACTTAGCAAGTCTAGCTTGTCTCAAAGAGATCATTTCTGGCCACTGATTCAAATTCCTGGAAGTTTTTCCCCACTCTAGAAGTGCTAAGCAAAGATTTCCCTAAATTTAAGAACATTCTTCAACTGGAGTCAGCCATTCATTTGCCTAATGTGAGAGAGGATTATGTGCTTGGCCTTGCTAAATGAAACCCTTCAGGAAAAGGCAGTTCATTTAAAACAGGAAGTGTGAAGAAGGTAGAAGGTCATTTAGGTATAAATAACAGGTTAAGATGAGGGGTGCTTTATTTTCTGATATGAGACGCTAGAAGACCTAAAACATTCTTCAGGTCTTGGATGAAACTACAACTACAGGAATGCTCCTTTCTCCAGACAATAGAAAATATTAGCAGAGGAAAATTGCTAATATAATGAGCAATATATTAATATATTAGAATATATATTACACACATAATAAGGGAAAACACTCTGATCATGAAAAATATGAAAGTCTATGAATCTGTTGTAAAAGGAGTGTTTGTATTTAATAAAATCATAAATATTTTTCTAACTTAATATGGAGTAAGAGAAAATACTATAAGGAAAATTTTGTGTACATATTTTTAGTGTTTTTTTTTTCAATTAAGCTTACATAGTGCTACATAATGAAACATTTAGTAATATAACAGAAAATCAATAATTAACCATTTTAGGCAAAAAGCAAAAGGAAAAATAGTGCTAAAGTTACTGATTCACTCTTTTAAGAAATGAAATTTATACATAAATAACTATTATAATAAATTTTTACCATTGAATAAATGTAAATATATAAATATAAGGTGTAAGTATAAAATATCATGGAAAAACATACTGATGTCTTCTTGGTGAAGAAATTTCTAAGCATAGTAACAGTTAGAAAATTATACACTTATAAATAAACAGCTTTTCCTTTATCAACTATAACATTTTTGTGGAAAAAGTAAAAGATGTTAGAAACAAAAGATATATAATTAATAGTTACTTATAATGTTTTAGTATTAATTATTGATTTCTGTAATGTTTCAATGGCATGAGGAAAGTGATTTTAGGTGAATGTGCTAACAATGTACACATAAGGTATTTCACAGAAAATTAAGGAAAATCAACAGCTAAGAAACATGAGGACATATTTGAGCAAAATGTATTTTGTACAAGTTGCTAAAGATTTTTTATATATGCTCTGTTTCTGTAAGGTGATATGACGATGTGACTCGAAAGTGATTTTGACAAACAGTATAAAGACTAATGTCTCCCACTTCTTTTTTTTTTTTTTTTTTTTTTTGATTTTGTCCTAACCAAATGGGAAGGTAAATATTTAGAATTAAAGAGATCCTTTGCTATTATCAGAAAACATGAACTTTTTAAAGAGCTTCTATTTTTGACTGTGGATTATATGTGGCTGAAAGAGGAATAAAAGCATGATGCTTACTGCTAACAAGAGGAAACAGGAAGATGCTCTGAGAGGGTAATGATGAATACTGGACTGAATAAACCCAAACTATCACTCATGCTTATCCACACTAAGTGGTCTCATGGTTCTTTATGTGTTATTGCAAGTATAAAACCATTTATTTGCTTTCAAAACAAAAAAGAACGAAAGGGAAACAGAGATCTACAGATGGAAAGTGCAGATAGGAGATGTTTTAAAAACATTAAACTCCACTAAGAAAAGAACAGTATGGCAAAGGGCATGAAGGATGGCTCCTTTCCTTCATGAAAGCTACCCCAAAGTTCCACAGAAGCTCAGGGACTGACCATTAACTTGCTAGCTACAGCAGAATCACTGTCAGTTTCAAGACCAGCCTTTTAAGAAAGTTAGTAGATAACTGACTCATGACCTCCCCAACCGGCACCCAACTGTGATGCGGCTTGGTGAGGAAATCGGCTCCTTCTGGCACTGAATAACCTGGTGACAGCATTTGTAGCCCAAGAGACCATGGTCCATCCCTGGGGCTTTTAGTGAGAAGGGAAAATAGTCCAAGCAGCAACCTTATGAGTGAGGGACAGAAGGCACCCAGCAGTGCAGCATGCTTCAAGTGCAGCAGGGGTATTGTTCTGTTCCTCAACTCAGGAAGCAGCTCTGCAGGTCCTGGGCAATGGGGGAACTGCCCATTTGCAAAGACAGATGAAAACAGCAGTTGAAACATTGCAGGGAACATACTTGTCAGCAAAATTCAATAAATACGTTATTTCTGCTCCATTGAAATTCATGGAGCATGGTACCATCATGATATGTGATATAGTGATGTAAGGTATATTAAAATAATGCGTCGATAGCTCAGAAAAACGGAGAATGTAAATGCACCATAGGCAAAAACGGGTATCTACAGCTGGAGGAATTTATCAAGAAGTACTACACTTTTCATCATAGAGGTCAGATTTTATTTGCTATGGAGGACTAGTAATTTTTTTAAAATAATTACATATAATAGAAAGAAAAAAACCACACACCTCAGTAGCTATACAATCTAAAAATTGCTCTGAGTCATGTAAAATTAATATATGAAAATTAAATTAATATGTGTAACTAAACTGAATCTGCATCTTTAAAAGACAGCTTTCAATACTTCTTGGATAAAGAAAACGTGGCTTGTATTTTGAAGTAGATTAATCATTACTACATCATATATATTTCAATATATATTTAAAAAATAGAAAAATAGGGGAGACTCAGAAGAACACTGACTGTGTATATTGCCTTCTTAATGTTAGAATTTTTGGTTAATGACATCATGTTTTATTGATATGTGACATCACAGGAAATAGAATCAACGGACATATGCAAATTTCCAGTTTTATGTATTTATGTATTAAAGTCCAGTTAACAGAAAGACAAAATGTGCTAATTCTTTTATTTTTATGTTAATTTTCTTAACATAAACTTGTGATTGAAATATGTTATGAATATTTTATAACATACTAATTCATATTCCACAGGGCCTCAAAAACATCTTTCAACTTGGAAAACATCTATTTTGAATTCCACACTATTTTGAATTTCACTCACTGCATTGTTTTCAGTGTAATATGAGAATTGTAAATTCGAGTAAAATAACATTAGAGTTCTTATTTTTTTATTTATGCATATTTGTATGGGCCTGGATATATGCTGTGTTACAGAGGTCAGAAGAGGGCATTTGATCCTCTGGAACTGGAGTTACAGCCAGTTATGATCCACTCACTGTGGGTGCTGGGAACTGAATCTCTTAAACATTGAACCATCACCAGTTCCACACTGGATTCTTATTTGTTCTTTAATAATAAATATAACAACAGTGAATTCTACAATTAGCCTCTGCTTTATAATATAGTTTCTAAGACTTCGTAAAATAACTTCACTATATTCTGTAACCTAGATGACATATGTCATAAAATGTTCATAACACATTTCAATCTCAAGTTTATGTTAAGAAACTTAACAGAAAAAAAAACAAATTAATAATTTATTTCTCTCCATTGACTTAAGAGTTAATACCTAAATCTATAAAATGGAAAATCTGTGTATCTCCAAATATTTATCCAATTCTTCTTATAATACAATATAATAAGCTAGATGTGATGGCTCGCACCTGTAATTCCAGCACTCAGGAAGGCAGAGGTAGGTGGATCTCTGTGAGTTTGAGGCCAGCCTGCTCTACAAAGTCCTGGAGTCGAGGACAGCCAAGGCTACACAGAGAGATCCTGCCTCAAAAAACAAGAACAAGAGCAGCAAAAACCTAATATATATTTCTGGAAACTCAGAAAGTTTCATTTTGTGACCTAGATGAAATTCAACAGTAGCTAAAACTTAGAGATGTTACCATGGTTATGAAAATATTGTTTTCTCATCTTCAGTAAGAAATTGTCTTGAAATGTTTTTAGAAATAAAAATTTGAAAAAAAAATCATCCGAATTTATTTTAAAAGTGTGTATCAATGCTATATTGGCAATAAATTGGCCTGTTCTTACAACCAAACAATGGTGATCTGTGTTGTTAGTAAGCATAAACTCTAACATGTCCTTCTAATCAAGCAGTGACAAGATTGCTCTACGGCACTGACGATTGTGTCATGTTCACAACCAAGAGCTGCCTTCACTTTGACAGCAGCACCCTCGCTGATGAGAGCTCACCTCCTCCCGGTGCTCCTCTCCTGACCGCTGGATGTACCATTCAACAGAGGCTTGTTGGGATTTAGGTATACATTCCAAAAAGGTTGAATTAAATTCAATTCCGAAAATCACCTTTTCATCAGCTGTTTCATGACTAATGCCTAGAAAGCAAACACAGCATTGGAGATTAACCTTGACCTTGTTTTAAAGGCAATGGGAAAACAGACTGATTCAGAACAGATGTCATCAAGGAAGAAGTATATACATTATTAAAGAGAGAGGAAATTCATGCTAAAACACTGTTACCTGAGAATCAAATACTGTTCAACAGAGTGACTTCTAAACTATATCTGTATCACCATTTTAATCTTTCATTACCGTATTATAGTTATTTTTCTAAAAAAAATGACAATTTACAAACTGTAACTCTTGACATTGTATCTCTTCATTAAATAAGTTTTTCTGTCCTTCAATGTCATATCCTATCCTTAAGGTCATACCCTATTCTGTTAGGAAGAGTAATTTGGATATATATTCATTGCATCCAGAGTACTAAAAATTGTGTTCCATGTGGAAAACCTGTAGTTCAAATTAATCAAATAAAAATAATGATGACTGCACAGTCTGGCTCAAACATGCACTTTTTCATCATATATTCAGATATTCAATTCTACAGACGGACGAGCTAGGCATCAGCAAAAGACTTATGGAACCTCGGGGAACCCCAAAGGAAAGCACACAAAACAGACTGCCAGATAGATAGTGGAGAGAAAGGCAGAAACGTTTTCAGATAGGGCGGTGGAAAGGTCTCTCTGAGGAATGCTGAATCGGTAAAAAGTGAAAGGATGTGAAAATGCAATTGTGTGAGCTCCTGAACAGCCTACTCATTGCAAGTTGCAGCGGAACAAATGCAAAGCGTGATGTGATTGGTCCCCTTTAAAAAGAGAGTGAACAGGGAGGCATGAGGTAAGGGAGGTTTACAAATGGACTGGCAACAGAGAGCCTCACAGGGTCTTTCAGGTCAGGCGGAAAGCTGTGAAATTTTTTACTAGTTATGGAAGAAGCTAGCGAAATGCTTCTAGTAAGGACGCACCATAATCTGACTGCAGTTTTTTGAAAACATTATTCTCGAGGTTGAGTTGGTCACAGACTGGTGAGGAGCAAAGGTGGTAGCGGGAAAACACCTGGAAACAGGCTCCTGAAGAAGAAGCACAGCTCCATTGTCACTGAGAGCAAGAGGAAGAGGTAGGCCTTAGTGTCAGAAGGATTATCAAGAGGTCACAGCTAGAATGTGAAAGAAGAGAAGCGCCAGCATGACTGCTAGCTGGTTTTCACCTCGGCTGAGCGAATGATGGTGCTATTGACTAATATGAGACGGTCTGCAGAACATAAAAACAGCAACTCTTTCTCACTGAAGATGCATTCAGGTGCTCAGCTGCAGTTTTTAGGTGCAGGGTGCTAGGTGAGAGGTCCACCAGAAAAACACAGCGCCATAGCAATGTAACTGTTCAGATTTCCACCTCTATAAGCACATGTCCTGTCTCATGGTTTTCTGATGTGAATCTCCGACCACTGCTGACTCAAGCTAACAAGGAGGTACAGCCAGCTCACCAAACTTCCTAACTGGTAAACACCAGTGCTTCAAAGAGAAAGAGTTGCAGATTATATAAAGACTGACACTGAAGAGTGTCTACTGGGTTTGGAACAGAAGACTTTGCCAGTGACCTCAACACGAAGGGAATGGACAGGGTGTTGATTTAAAGAGATCTTGTGCAATGGTTTACAGCAGAAATGGGACATGGTGAAGGGGAGGCAATTACTGAAAGTGCCTAAGGGAATGACAGTACTTTGTTCATTTTCTTTGTGCCACTTGTCATCATCTGACATGGTAATTATTTTTCTTGTTTTATATTTGTCCTTTACCACAAATGGGCACCTGAACATAAATTCCAGGAATGCATAGATAGTGCTGTGTTCATTTACCTATCCTCAATACTCAAAATTGTTCCTGGCATGTCTTTTTATTTACATGTATAAAGGACTGAATTCATAGAATTCAAGGATGCCCACGAAACAATGGACATAGAGGAAGTCATTTTAACATTAGAAAGGCATATACTCTATTTCATACCTGAATGTTCCTTATAGAAAAAGGATGAATTTATGCATTAAAAACAAAACACTGCTGTTCTTTCCAATCAAGAATAACTATTGGATTATCAGTTATAAACTATGAAGAGTTAGGTCATTTTAGGTCAGTAACAAAATGATGGAAGAACCTTTTTTCCCCACCTCAGGACTGTGTGTGTATGTGTGTGTGTGTGTGTGTGTGTGTGTGTGTGTGTGTAATATCAGCACTCAGGAGGCAGAGAAAGGGACTCTCTCTGAATTAAAGGTCAGCCTGGTTTATGGAGCTAAGCAAGTTCCAGGGCAGCATGCCAGGGTACACAGTGAGACCCTGCCTCAAAAAAAAAAAAAAAAAAAAAAAAAGAGAGTGAAAGAGGACGGCCATAAATAAAATCTGAAAGTTGTCTATAGTTTTTAGATTCATTTCGCCCATTTTCAAACTCACTCACCAAGCCTTCTCTTCCCTACATGTATTTTCAAGACCTTCTGTTCTGTGAACATTTTCTTCTGAACGATACAGCCTCTAGCGATCTCTCCTTCTATATTACTAATTATACCCCATGACTTTGCCTCCAAAGGGCATAAGCACTCTAAGGAATTTCTTTGTCTGGCATTGTATTCAGATCAATTAAGTGCATATGGAATTCACTCAATGCACATTTACTGCTGAATGTATACAAGAATAAGTGAATGTAAATAAAGTACAGACTACCTAACACTTTTTTCTAATATGTAATGTACCAAAATTTTTATCAGACTCTCCTGGGAGGTCTCTGACTTTACTCAGGATGCTCAAATGTTTGGGACTAAATCCTGGTTTGCCTCTAACAGAATCTTCAGACTTTACAAGGATGAATAAGGCACTAAAGAAGAAACATGCGATGACATAGGAATTTAAAAGACATGTGAAACACATCATGATTTAACAAAGCATTATTCACTTAGGCAAAGTCAGGGAGTTGGTTTATAAAACTCCTGTTGCTTTTCTAGAATGTAAGCATTACACAGAATGAGACAGACATATATATGGTTGTTGATTTCATATAGTAATTTTAAAAAGACACAAGAGAGCCAGGCTTATCGTTTTAAGGGGTAAGAAATGTGCACCAAGCCCGTACTTACTGTCTTCGATGTCCCAGCACTGAGTGATTGGGTCCCCATATTTTACATCCTGGCGTCTGGCTCGCCTATGGAAGGAAGATGAAGCTAATTAGATCTTCAGAAGAACTGGAATATAGAAAGGCTGTGTCTCATGTTAGCACAGGCAGATGCAAACTGTGCTTGCGTTACTGCACAACCTAAATGCAGGTCAGCGTTCCTATCAATTAAACATTAATTTAAATTCTGTGGTAAAAAAGTTTCAACAGAACAGATCCTGCTTTAGGTTAAGATGGTCAGAATTCCGTTTAACTACTGTTCTTTTTTCTAACTTTACAAATTATTCAAAAGAGCAGGTTGAAAATAACTAGGGCTCAGGTTTATATATAAAACGTGAAAATAAGCCCTCCTGCCTGTCAAAATCATAATATACAAACATGTTCTGATGAGTAGGAGAATATGTGTTAATATGGAAACATCATCATATTTAGGCTCACTCTGTTATATATTTCATTCAATAAATTAAGCACTTTCAGAAACAGAAGTGCAAGTCCAATGTGGCATTCATGCATACATGTTAGTATTATCAATACACATGCAATTAATATTTCCTGATAATAATAAAAATGATAGAAGTGATTTTGCATTATGTTACATGCTTTTTGTGGGAGAAACCAGTATTATATATATTTTTTTAAATAATGCCACATTTCTACTCAATATAAGAATGTCTTAAACCTTAATACAGTTCATTCTATTTGCTTGTTTTTAATTTTAAACAGAAAGTATTTTAATGCACACATAAAAACCTAAGAACTTTACATATTAACATGTTATTATATGATAGTTTGATAAAAACACATATAATTGTATGATGCTGCAAATTGGGTTAAATGTGTTTATTTCTTTAATTTTTTTTTTGCAAGAAGAATATTCAAAATTCCTTCTTCTTTGCCCAAAACACAGAGTATAGTGTTATTAATTAGAGTCTACACTATGCCACAACACATCAGGATTTCTTATTCCTTTCTGACAGTTTTGTTATATCCTCAAGATCCCTCTTTCCCCACTACTCTCTCCAGTCCATGTTGTCGCTTCAGAGATGAGAGAAGCAGCGGTAAACTTTCTCAGATGGATGCTCAGGGTGCTCTCCAGGGGCAAAGCTGACCAGATGACAACCTTGGAAAAGAGTCATCCATTGTACACATCTGTACCTTTAGCTAGACATTATGGTAGGTAAGGGAGCACATCACAGTGGCATATCTGTAAGATCAGAGATGCAGTCTTGGGAAACACAAGAAGAAAAAAAATATGATGGTATAAGGTACATAAGGTCACGAATGTTTTTAAATCTTGGCTTCTTCAGGAACGGGATCAATTAATCAAAGCGAACATTTATTGCCCAGTAACGAGCACTCTGGTTTTTCAGCTTCTAGAAAAGAGTTCCCCAAAGACTCACCATGATGAGTCTATTCTGGGCAGAGAAGTTTAGCAAAGCGTTGGCAACGTTTAAATTTTAATAACCATATTTACCCATTTATGTTTAATTTATGGACTTGAAAGAAGAAAAATACGTCTAAGTACCTACAATTTTTTAGATCTAAAATTTAGAATTTGAAAAAAAAATCTCTGAAATATTTAAAATAAAATAAATGCCCATGTATTAGCAAAATGAATACATGCTCTCTATTTAGAGCATCAAAAACCTCAAGAAGTAACTTAAAAATGAAAATAATCCAAAGCACTCAAAATTTGTTGGCATTTTATGTAGAAGAACACATACTTGAATGCTAGTTTAGAAAATAATGTTACTAATATGTACATATAAAAACAATGATGGTAGAATATTCATCTAACATGGGTATTAGAAATTATTTTGTTATAAAAATTAGTGTCAAATGTATATCTTATAACTCTAGATAACTTCACTGTGTTTATAAAGCAATGCTTATGTGTTCCTGACTATTTCCAGGTGTTTATAAAATAAAAAGCTACAAATGTCAAGGAAACAGTTTTTGTTGAAGTTCATCTGAGTGCCCAAAAATGACAAACCACAATTACAAAAGTAAATATAAAAATGAACCAAGTCGCTACATGTACTGTTTCTTTACTTCTACAATTCTGTAGATTTATAAATGACTCACAAAACAATAAATGTGAATACCTGTATATTTAGAAACTTAAGGAAATAAATGGAGCAAAAAATAGTTAATAAAAACAGTTTTGGAGAGTTAATAAAATGTAACTGATAAGAAAAAAATAAAATAAAAAAAACAGTTTTGGGAGGTAGACAGGATGTCATTATCAAGCTATTCTGAAACTCATGGCAATCCATTTGCCTCAGCCTTCTGAGTTGTGGGATTACAGGTATGAACAACCGTGGTTGGCTGTTAAAATAGAATTTAATGGTATTTTACATCACTGAAAGAAAGTGCTGTATAAATCTTATCAGCTCTTTAAAAGAATTCCATACTTCACAATTTCAGAACATCTGCTCTATCTTCTCATCTTTAATTTAATATAAAATGATTGAACAGCTTAATTGCAATATTTCTTCCCTAGGTCAAGTTTTCTATGTCTTTAACTTAAACTACAAGACAAGAGATTCATGACGTGGGAGGGAGGTGTTCCCTGACCTTTTGGAAGTAGGTGCATATCTGGAGCAAGCATTTCCATCCCAAGCACAGTAGGGGTCTCTGGCCAGACAGCAATCAGCACAGGCTTTCCCGTAAGTGTCGCATCTGTGCAAGGAGAGTTGAACCAATCCATCCCAGGAACCAACGTACAACTGCTGCTGTAAATCGAGCAAAAGAAAGGAATCAGCAGCATCGCTCACATTGTTTTTGAGGACCACTTTTGTAAACACCGCAGGTTAGCTCTAAATCTGTTTCCGGGTGCCCTGCTACCTGTAGACACTTGTGTAGAAATGTGAGAAAAAGAGTAAGACAGGTCAAACAGTTCTACCCCTAGACAGACTCCATTTCGAAGGTGTTGATACTGCAATGGACAATATTCCAGAAAGCTAAAGTAGTCTTGGGAGTAATTTAAGGTCAAAAAAACAGCTGCTAGACTAGAATTACTATGCCAAATTCTTTCTCAGGAGTGGAAGTTATACTCTTGAAGGTTCTAGTAAGCATGCATACTACCGGCAATATTGATGGCATGGCACTGCCATGCCTCTCAAAATGAAGTATGACTGAAAAAGACTCCTTACAATGTCTATTTTTAGGTAAGCAATTCATTTGATAATGATGCAGTTACTCTAAAAGAATATGGATTACAATTGGGAGGGATAAATACTTGTTAATCTTTGTCAGACATCACCAGGTGGACTTGAGCAATTCTATATCACAAAGCAAAGGCTACAGGATCCTGGAAACATTGAATCAATGACACTTTGAAAGTTAGTTCCAAAATATCTGCAGCACTCCCCATACACACTCAGTTGTGTGTCTGCAGCAGAGGTCATGAAGGAAGAATAAGGTAGGTAAGTCTCAGCTGTACTTTTAAATGACTTGTGATCAACTCTGGAGGACCACTCTAAGCTTTAAATAAAAGAAGAACCTCATGGAAATAGACACTAGGTTCCCTTTCTTTCATAAGATTCCCTGCACTCTGCCCAAATTTTGGCTATGAGTCTCAGCATCTGCTTTAATACCCAGCAGCACAGTCTTTCAGAGGTCCTCTATAGAGGCTCCTGACTGGTTCCATGTTTTCTCCCTCTTCTGGTGTCTATCCTATTTGCCTTTCTGAATGAGGATTGAGCATCTTACCCAAGGGTCTCCTTCTTGCTTAGCTTCTTTCGGTGTAAAGACCCGGAGAGGACAGGAGCTCAACAAGGAGAGCAACAGAACCAAAAAATCTTGGCACAGGGGTCTTTTCTGAGACTGATACTCCAAACAAGGACCATGCATGGAGATAACCTAGAACCCCTGCACAGATGTAGCCCGCGGCAGCTCAGTCTCCAAGTGGGTACCCTAGTAAGGGGAACAGGGACTGTCTTTGATATGAACTCAGGGGCTGGCTCTTTGATCACCTCACCTGAAGGATGCAGGGCAGCCTTACCAGGCAAGAGAGGAAGACAATGCAGCCAGTCCTGATGAGACATGATAGGCTAGGGTCAGATGGAAGGGGAGGAGGACCTCCCCTATCAGTGGACTGGGTGAGGGGCATGGGAGGAAAAGAGGTAGAGAGGGCAGGATTGGGAGGGGATGATGGAGGGGATGATGGATACAAAGTGAATAATTGTATTAAACTAAAAAATAAAAATTATAAAAGAAATAGATATTAGCATAAAAAGCACAGGGGTTCTCAACTTACAAATATTTACCTTACACTTTATTGCCTCTTAAATTCTGTTAAGACTTTCATGTCATTAAACACAGTGCATCCTGTTATCTGTTTTTCCACAATTCTCTGAAGTGTTTGTTTTCATCACCATTACTAACTTTCTCTCTATACACGCAGCTCCGATCTGTTTCCACCTGCTTCTCATTGCCACGGCCTTTTGCTTTGTTCTATCATTATTGCTTGCTTAGATTGTTTGCAAGATTTCTAACTATTTCCTCTGACACCAGCCTTTTCTCATGACCCCCACCTCTGCAGAGGACCCATTGCATCTTCCAAAGACAGAGCTTTATAAAAGGATGCTCTTCTTGTGACATTTCCCTGCTTAAAAACTGCAACGCCTTTTGCTCTTAAATTGTTTAAGCATCATAGAGCTCTGGCAGGATCTAACATACTCACACTCACTTCTCCAGAGTCATTTTGAACTTCTTTTTACCCTTAACGCACATTTGTTTTAGGTCAAATTTTATACACCCTTAATAGAAACAGGTGTAGATTCTTACTTTTCACAGTTTTTTCCTTTATCCTATCTTTTTTATTTATCTGGTTAACAACAATATCATTCATAACTGTTTATCTCTTTCCTTATTACCCTTCTCTTCGTCTTTCTGGCTCCTTTTCAATACACTTTTTCTCCTTTTTCTTTCTGCTATATACTTCAGTTATTACTCTACATTATTGGCATATTTCTCTCTCTGTCAGTTTTGCTGAGAGCTTCCAGAGGCGAGAAAAATGCTATGCCACTCATGTCTATCTGTGTCTCCAAAGGCCAATAGCGGAGATTCAAGTTATGTATGTTATTTAAAGAGAAATTCAATGACATAGCAGAAGGAAGCAAATTTAAACTTTGTTCTATTACCTGGGCTATCAAGCTGAATTGTAGCAATGCCCTAATGTAGAACCTCTATTATCAAATGACTTTCTTAAATCTTAAGGGTATATGTAAAAACGAAATGGCAAGTCTAAATTTAGTCAGTTGAGATACGGATTATGATATTATGGAACTGTAAAATCATGTTTTATGTGCGTATGAGAATTATAATTGGCTACTATTAACACATTGTTTTACTTAAAAATTAGCATGTACATTCTATTTAAACTTGAGGATCTATCAGTGACAGCAGAAGTAAAGTACTTGTCTATATTTGCAAGGGACTAGGCAATCTCCAGTACTGAAAACAAACAAACAAAACAAAATAAAACAAAAACAACAAAACCTCCAAAAACCAAAACCAAACAAACAAACCCAAAAGACACCAAAAACAAGCTTTTGTTCATGCCTATAAATAAACACAGGACTCAGAAGGTGATGTTGAAACACAAAGATTGTGAGTACTGGACCAGCCTGATCTAGATAATAAGATCCTGTCTCAAAAAATTACCCATTGGCTTGCCTAGTATGGGTGAAACCCTGGATTTCTTCCCAAGCATCACTAATTAAGTAGAATAAAAGAAATGCTAAACTCATAACAAACAGGAGAGCTTTCTAGTTTTGTTGTTAAGAGAACTGGTTCTGAGAGTTAGTTATTGAGTAGAGTGTGAGGTTAGACTCTTCAGAGTTGTATTCTAATGTTCATATTTGAAATCCGAGATCCCCTAATTAAAAACCCTTGTCAATGTCAGCAATTGGCATCTTAAACATGCCTTATGCCTTGAGCAGAAATACATCCTTATGAGAACAGACATCCACTCATTTCTCTGGAGCCAAAGGAAGGGCACACACACTATTCAATTTCCATTCTCCTAAGGCAAAGATGAAACAATGACTCTAATCAATAGGAGGAAAACCAAGCAACCTTTAACTTTCTGCATTTTTAATGATTTCATTTTAAATTCCCCAGTTTAAGTAGATCCTGCAAATAAACTTTTATTTAGAGAACTTCACGCTTCTGAAGTTAATTATTAAGCAAAAATTACCAAGTACCTGCTTCAGTGATAATTCCATGTTCAAGATGGCTGTCGGGTGCTGCAAACAGAAGGAAAGTGAAATATCAGTAAAAGCCATTCACAGCTTTGTATTATTGACTATGGTTTTTTAGCTCATACCAAACATGGCTGTTGAGACTCTCAATGAGAGGAGAAAATCATCTTTCTGCTTACTATTTTCTTGTGCTGTGTGTTAATTCTACATTTCTAGACACGATAAAATGCTTAAGGTACTATATCAGAAAGAAACTAACTATATGAGGAACTGCTGTGTTGAAAATGCTTTCTGGTTACTTACAAGTTTTCACCTAGTTCTAAATCTGCTTATCTCAACTGCTAGCATATAAATCATTCTAGAGCTGACAAGAGCATCTCCATAATTATTTATTGCTCCATTCTGATCTCACTTGAATCAAAGATTAAAAACATGTTTAAGTAAAAGAGCTTTGAAAAGTTATAGTTCTGTTGGTTGACAATGATATTCTTTATGCAACACTACAAGATACCAACATGTGCAATTTCATGATACTGATCAGATTTTATTTCTAATGAGACAACAAGCATGGATACAAAAGCAACCATTCACATAAAGCATGACATTCTGAAAATGTCATCTATCTAGTACGTATATTCACTTGTTGCTTTTATGTACTAGCTGACAAACAGTAGATGTTAGAGATTTAAGAAAAATCTATGAAAGAACAAAATAAAGTGAGAAAAGTTTGTTTTACCTATTTTAATGTTCATTCTAATATTTTTTGTTGTTCCTAATTTTAAAAACATGGCCATGGCCATGCCCATCAAATTATGTTTGGGTGTTGTTTTTTTTTTTTTTTTTTTTTTTTTTTTTTTTTTGTTAAGGAAAGAAAGGAAAGATAGGTAGTGAAGAGAAGATAAAGATAGGGAGAGATAAAAAAGGGAAAGAGGAGAAAAGTAGAGATGAAAAACAAAGAAGAGAGGAGAAAACAGAGGAGATGGGATGAGAGAAGAAAAGGAATCTGGGTATGTAACTCACTGGTGAGTTGTTTTCATGTGAAAGGACCCAAGTTTCATCTCTAGCATAAAAGAAAGAATGATAGATAGATAATAGGTAGGTGATAGAGAGATATATAGATAGTAGTTAGACAGACAGACATGGATGGATGGATGGGTGGGTAGAGGGGTGGGTGGGTGGATGAATTAATGGATGAATAGCTTGGTGGACAGGTCAGTGAGTGAGTGGGCAAATGGATAAGAGGAAGAGGATGAAGAGGCTGAGAACAAGAACCATAACCAACTGAAATAATAGTCACTGAGGTAACAGTAAATTCTTGACAGTAAGACCCACGGGAGAATATGACTTCTCACGCATTTATGTGCTTGATAGAAACTCATTAATCCTCTCCTTCATTCACCCGTATGTATGTTTGGCATCAACTTTTCCCTTAGGAACCACCCAAGATTTTGTTTTGGTAGAGGATAGATAGCAGGTCTGTTCTTGTTAACTTCTTGACCACTATTATCATCACAATGTAAACAGGATCCTGCAAATCCCAGCATGATAATTAACTTTAGCTCTTCACAGGGAAGGACTCCACTCTCTGCAGGCAATGGATGTTTACATAGGAATAGTTTATAATAAACATTTTTAACAAAATAAAAACAGAAAAATATTTTCCAAGAAATGCAACCTTATTTCTAATGTCTTATTTTTCAGGAAATAATTCTAAATACCACAGAGTGGCTACAAAGAATGCCACACTAACGTATTTATTATTAAAGGCAGAACATAAAACAAAGAACTCTTCCTCCAGGCCTTAACTCTGTTTTGAGAGGTGGGAGGGTTGTAGCCTGCATAACATGCAATCATCAAGGCTTTTTCTTTGTTTTCTTTCTTCTTTTTCTTTCTTTTCATTTCATCATAGCAAAGTGGGGCTTCTATACATGATTCATAAACTTTTCCAGTTTTCACAAATTCATTTGGGAAAAATTGCAAAGTAGCATTCATAAAGTAGAAAAGCATCTGTATAGTGAGAGACCCCAGGCTTTTATTCAGTGTGGCAATTTGACTGACTATATGCTTGGAGAATGCAGTAAGGGGAGGCCTTCCAGCAGCTTCTGTCAGTGGTATTCGGCAGGGGAAGTGAGTGCCTTTCCCTCTTGCTTATGACCTGTTCCAAATGCTTAGACCAGAGAAACAGCTGAAGCTCATTTCAAGGACTTCTCCAGGAAAAGCAACGAAAAGACAAGGAGCCCCATGGAAAGCCGTCCTCCCCTCTGCTGGAGCCCCGGGACCCTTCTCACCTTGAACACCTGAAGCTCCTCCAGTACCACCTCTTCTGTATTCCACTTCTCCTTGGAAATGCTGACAACTTTGAGGACTGTTCCAACGTCTGAAATAAAAACATGGATCTGTAACCTCGTTTTCTACTTCAATATTTAGTTGAATGCATATTCCTAGAAATCTCAAATATTCCCCTCATTTTTTCTTCTAGATACTTTACAAGAAATCTGCACAAATGAAGTAGTGAGAAATGAAGTCTACTGGATGAGATGTTACCCCTCTAAAGCAGATGCTTATACAGAGATTAAAAAGTAATATCACAATATTTTGTAACTACCTGTATATAACTAATTTAAATATTTGTTGAAACAACAGAAGTGAAGCAATTTTTTTAACTATTCTGAATGCTAAAATATGCTAAAACAAAATATGTGTGTATATAAGTATAAACATAAGTATATACTTATTTTCTCTGCCATAAGATTTGCTTAGTAATTATACCTGATTTATTATAAACAGTAAGAAAGTAAGATATATAGTCTTCTAGAAATGTTAATGAATGGCCCAGAAAACACTAGAGATCTTCCCACGGGGAAACTAGCTCTACGCTCCTCTGACACACTATGCTTTCAGAATAATTGTTCATGAGTTAAAAATTAAAGTTTATTCGAATTCTTTTAGTTTAAATACAAGTTTAATAAGAACAAAAATAATGTTTAGGATAGCTCTCTTAAATGTCTTATAATGATTGCAGAGTTACAGTGCAGCATGCAAGTGTAGAAAGATAGTCAAAAGTACACTAGAAAAAAGTTAAAATAGAGAGGTCACTTCGCAATTAATCTATTGAAAATAAGTGTTTAAACTTCTGAGCAGTGGGCCTTGAGAATAGGAACACAGAGTATAGTGATACTACTCTCTGTAGAAAATTGCCTCGGTTTTTCAGTATTTATGAATGATTGTAGGATGTTCAAAACTGTTAAATACATTCTGATGATATAAAATTGACTTTTAAATTAATCATCGTATTTCTCTCAGGAAAGGTTAGGTAGTACCACCTAGTGGCTGAGTGCTGTTTATGGTATTGAACTGTTGGAAACCTATGAAGGAATGAGCTTTGGCTGGACAGTGCAAATTAAATTTAGCTCATGAGAATTAATAACAGACTAATTAAAGTTCTGACCTTTAAATAGTCATCTCTGTAGTCTCAGAAATGGAGCATCCCTTAGATTATCTGTGTTTTTTACTTGCCGTCTGTAACATAATCAGGCCCAATAGTTGTCGCCCAAAGGCCCTAGGAGTTATGACAAGGTACTTCTGATAATAAGTTTAATTTCTGCTTAACCACTGTAATGCTTAAAAAGTAAATAATTCTAAAATTTTTTTACATTCTTAAGAACCTGTTACAATAAAAGAATGGTGTTATTACATAACACTTTCTTAATTTTTAGAATCACCAAATAAACAATATTCTCTTTGTAAAATGTATGTGTATATGTGTATATATAAATGTTTACAAATATGTATATATAAATGTTTACAAATATGTGTCTATGTATACGCACATATATATGATCCTTTAAGAATCACAGGCTATACAGTTTCAGGAAATGCTGGCAAGGTATTAGCTAATGTCTGTCTATATATTTGTCTATGTCTATCTATGTTTATATCAGTATCTATCTATAGCTATATAGACATAGATAGATAGAGAGATAGATAGATAGATAGATAGATAGATAGATAGATAGATAGATAGAT